ATGCCCAAATAAGTATAGCTTACATTCAAAAATAAATGAGTTTTTAAGTTTGTTTCTTGAAGCCTGTGTGTAGCAGAGTCCTGTAAATGAAGGTTGTTAGCTAAAATTTGGTCTTTTAGTTTTGCTAAAAATTTTAAGTTTTGTTTGCTTTAAAAAATCAAGGAACTGGGCTGGGAAGGTGGCTCAGTGGTAGAGTGCTTGCCTTTCATGCTTGAGGCCCTGGGTTCGATTCCTCAGCACCACATAAGCAAAAAAGAAAAAAGCCGGAAGTGGCACTGTGACTCAAGTGGTAGAGCACTAGCCTTGAGCTGAAGAGCTGAGGGACAGCGCCCAGGACCAGAGTTCAGGCCCCATGACCGGACCCAAAAAAAAAACACTAATCAAAAAACCAAGGAACTTTTTCCTTTCTGTGATTAAATTTTTGAAACTAATCCAGTGTGAATATCTGTACTCAGAGAATAAGATACTTGCAAATAGTTGGAAAACATTTAACATAAACATCATTTTAAATTGAGTGTCATCATCATTAGTAATTTTAGAATCTTAATGTATTTCTAAATTCACATCAACAGAATTTTTAATACTTTTAATAGTGTTGTTCTTGCCACTTCAAGTAAAAACAGCTAAAACACTTTTTGATGTGTATACTAAAAGGTTTCTATAATTTTAGCTTTAAAAATTCATATTCTGTTTCTTCTTTTCTGTCTTCTTTACTCAGTTAATAATACCTGTAGTTAAATAAAGTTTATTATAAGTACTTTGTATTTGTCTCAGAATTTGACTTAGTATAGCTTTGCATAAATGTAGAAATATTTGCAAGTCTTAAAATGATGTAAATGTTTAACTATAATAGTTTTGAGGAATGAAATGAAACATGGCTATAGTTACATTTTTTTGAATCCAGTTTACAGTAGCTGAATGCTTCCCAAGAAATGGGAAAAACCACATGTCCTTTTGCAAGGGCTCATTTGAAAATGAAGGTGGTATCTTATCTTTATCTTAGCCTTGTTTTAACTATCCATTGTTTGATTGCTGTTTATTTTTTCTACCTCTTTCTTCAGAAGGAAGTAAAATTGAGATGTATCAGCAGAACAACAGATGTTGGGATTTGGGATTTGATAATGTCTCATTTGGCTAATGAATAGTATGAGAGTTTTGAATGGCCATAATACTCTTCAATTTATGTACTGGATGTTATTCAGACTTTACTTTTCTTGTTTTCCTTTCAAGCCATATATTGTATTTTATGTGTATTTATTGTGGCATTTTACTGTTGTAGAAGTTATTTTAGTGTGCTGTCAATATTGACTATGTAAGATGAATTTCTAATTATTTAGAATAGCCACTTTTTATTATTCTCTCTGGTAGCTCAGAACTTTGAAAGTAAATTTTAAAGCAGCAGAATTTTAGATGGCACCATTTCAAGTACACTTTGGCAGGCCTGAAAGCTGTCATTGTTGTCGCCTTTGCTTGTGTATATGCCATTCTTCCATGTTAGAAAATAATTGCACTAAAATCCCCCAAGAACAGTGTGTACCAGACAGCTTTCAGAGATTATGGTCTCAACTTTTAGTTTTATTGTCTTTTGATAAAATATTACAAAAAAATCTTTGAAGCTTTAAAAAAAAATTAGCACAATGACTCAGGTCTTCTGTAACTGTAAAAGAATGTTCCTCTCTAGTGAATGTGCCTGTCCTCAGGTTCAGTAATATAGAGATAGCTATGATCTCAAAGGCTTAGAAGAAATACATTTCAAGAAAACAGTGATTCCTTTTAAAGGTGCCCAAAACAAAATACAGATGTGACTTATATTGTACTGGAACATTTCTACTACAAAACAGGAAGGTCAGAATAGGTATAATACTGATTACAATGAAAAAAAATTGAGGTTTTAGTTCACTTTTTAAGTAGTGGTCAGGCTTTCAATAATTAACTGCTTATTAAGACCTACCAATAAAAACTCCCACTATAGAATTGTCAAATTCCATTAGGTAAAAATATTTATTTACCTATTGCTTAAGCAGGTTGTGAGGTTGAAAAGGTATGAAATAAACTCTGCTTTTCATTGTAGCTCTTTTTTGGGGTTTCCTACCCTCTGCATGTGACCACTAAGTAAAGTCAGAGATAGTTAAGAGCTTTTAGTTGATTTTTGAGTATGCTTTATGTTAAAGATGATTTATAAACCAAATCTTCACATTGAGATTTGTTCTTCCTGGAATAAAAAGTCCTATTCATTATAAAGCTCTTTTTATTATTATAAAAGAATATTTTACTTACCTTTTGAATTGGTTTATAACTATCTGGAAGGTGATTATATTTATTGCTTGCATCAAATAATCAACTAATATACATAAAGTACCCCTTCTGCAGGAGCTGCATCTAAGATTCATACTGGAAACCTTGGAGAGTTGAACTTGATATACACTTTATATATATACTTTACTATACAGAAATATATACCACCTGTGATAAAGTTTAAATAAATAAATCAGACACAACGGAGATTAGTAACAATAACAAATATTAAAATGGAATAATGATCACAGTTATTTTGAAAATTCTAAAATTATCGAAATAGATATAATGATGCTATAACCAGCATGAGTTTCTTTTTTAAATATAGTTTCAAAGATAGAAGATTGACTTTTTTCTTTCCTTATGTAGAAAACTTCTATGTTTTCACATAAAGAAAATACTTAGACTTCTTTTGGTATATTTTAATTACCAGCCTCACCACTCTTGTGTTTTGGGGCCATTATTAAGATAAGGATTATTTGAATACAAGCACTGTACTGCCTGTATACTGTAAGGCTGCAGAGTTAATCTAATAACCAGATGACTACTCAGTGACTCATGGGTTGTTAGGGTAGACTGTGGACACACTGGACAAAGGAATGATTCACCTCCTACACTGATGGAGCAGGACAGCGTGAGATTTCATCACCTACCCTGAATGTTGCACAGTGTGAATTGAAATTTAGGAATTGTTTCTTTTCTCTTCCTTTCTTTTATCCTTGTCTTTTTTTTCACTCTTTCTCCCTCCCTTTTTTCCTCCCTTCCTTTCTTCCTTCCTTTTTCTTTTATTTTTTCTCTTTTTTTCTCTCTTTCTTTCTGAGAGGAACAGTACTGGAGTTTGAACTCATTTACCACTTAAGCCATGTTCCTAACCTAGAATTGCTTCTTTTAAGGAATTTTCCATATACTAATTTTGCCTAAAAGTTGGCTGCAGTACAGAATCTACAGAAAATGGAGTTGCAGATAAAGGGGAGTAACTGTAAAAAGCCTATGGAAGATCTTACTGCATTGTTTCAAATCATGGATAGTTTTTTTTAATTTTTTTTTATTGTAAAGGTACTGTACAGAGGGGTTACAGTTACATGAGTAAGACAGTGAGTACATTTCTGGTCAAGCATTGTTACCTCCCCTTTTGTTCTCCCACTATCTCTTCCCTCCCCCACCTCCCTCAATCCTTATGGATAGTTTTAAAATCCCAAGTCCAGAAGTACCCAAGGTTGATGTGCGCTACTGTTAGTAGTGTCTTAGTTCTGTGCATGGTTTTTTTTTTCATTGTTATTGTAAAGGTGATGTACAGAGAAGTTACAATTACATAAGTCAGGTAAAGAGTATATCTCTTTTTGGACAACATCACTCCTTACCTTGCTCTCTCCCTATTAATTCTGTGTATTTTTTATCCACCATAACAAAGCCATTGACTTGACTTGTCCTCTAAAGGAAAAAGAGCTTTATAAATAATGTCAGGATCATCTCCCAAATATTCCACAAGAATGTTAATACTTTAGTATGAACATGTTAATGAAAATTGGGGCATACCAATGTTATGGCTTAAAACTTGTAATTGAACTATACATATTTGAAACTTTTCAATGTACAAGTTGGTATTTGTGATCTGAAATGCTTTAGATCAGGAGCCTTTTGGATTTCAGATATTTGGGGCTTGAGAATATTTTCATGTATGTGAGGAAATATTTGGGGGTTGAGATTTAAGTCTAAACACAAAATTCATTTGTTTCATATATGACTTACACACTTAGTCTAAAAATGACATCATATAGTATTTTCAGTGCACCAGTATTTTGTCTGTGACCAATCAATCACATGAAGTAAATGTTCTGTTTTCCTCTTGTTTTGTCATATAGGTAACTTAAAAGCTTGATATTTTGCACTGACTGATTTTTTGGCTGTTCATATCTTCCTCCATCATACCAGAGGTGGCCCAGAAATGTTTGGAATTAATAAAATACTATATCTGAGTTTTACTTCAACAGTCATTAGGTCTTTTGTAAGAGCCTCTAAATCTAAGTATCTTTATTGTAGCTATTTTCTATCCAATAAAACATATGGTGACTGCATTTATGCTTCTAAAATTTTTACTGGAAAGATTATTATAGTAGACAGGTCCCTTTTGCAACATGACTGCAGGGAACTACAGTTGCATGCATTGCTGTCTGTTAAACTTCTTGGAAGTGAGCCAGTATGTTATGGTGGGTTTCATATGTACGCGGTGAGCCACTAAAAGGCTTGCACAGTACTACAAGTATACAGAGGAGAGGAAGCATTTGGAAATTCAGCAGTAAAGCAGCAGCAGCAACAAGCAGCCACAGTGGTAGTAAAGATAGGGGAGGTTCACAGTTAGCATAGTTCCCAGTGTGAGGCAGTGAGCACATAGCTTCCCCTACTGCTGCCCAGAGGTGGCAAACCAAAACTGTATATTGGCACGATTCTTCTACTTTCATGTTTATGATGTCAAGTCATGTGATGATACTGTACCATAAGTTGCCAACTTCACTTTCCTCTGGAGAAGATCCTTTGCTGCAGTGCTTTTTTTTCCCCTTTCTCTTTCTTTCTTTCTTTTTTTTTTTCTTGAAAGAGAAAAAATTGTGCAATGTATGTTTATGCCTACACCATGCCGAGGCGACACTTACCAGTAAATAATCTCTGTATCCCCGAGGTAAGATACTGTTTCTGCTTTCCCTGCACAGTGCTGCTGCAGCACGGAGCTGATCCAAACATTCGGAACACTGATGGGAAATCAGCCTTGGACCTGGCAGATCCTTCAGCAAAAGCTGTCCTTACAGGTAAGAAAACAGAGCTACCAAATTATTTTTCTGTGAAACAACTAGCTTGGTTTTTGTTTTGTTGTTGTTGTTTAAATAAAATCCTCATTAAAAAAAAATAAAAGTCTTCATCTTTAAAATCTTTTTCTTGTTTATTCACTATTGGAACTAAAAGAAAATATAATTACTACTTTATTATTGATGGAATATCTGTCTTATTAATTGTTGTGCTGTCATAAACACAGACAATAAGATTGCTATACCACTTAGAATTATAGCAATAAATCATACTATGTGTTAGTCACTCCTCTTTTATCTTTCTTGTGGTTTCAGTTGCAGTATAATTCTTATGCCTTATCCTCTCAGTTGTTTCTTTTTAAGACCTTCACTATTGAGCAGGCAAGGACATTTGTATCATTATAAAAGTAGTTTTGATTAGAAAGACAACCTGCTGCCTTAGTACTTGGATCGATAGTTAAGTAAAATGTGCAGCTGCTTTCCCCCTTGCCATCCTGTTTACATTTTTGTCATGTATTTTCACTTTTTACTGTGACAGCCAGATTATTTTTAACTAGGGCAATATGTTATCTTTCTTTTTTTACTTCGACAATGCAAATTTTTGGCTTAAGTATTAGTTTTATTAAAGCAGATTCTAAGAGCCAGCAAAGGTAGTTTTAGAATAGAAAAAAAACTCTCAAAATAATAGAGAAAATAATGCTATACCTGATAGGTTCCTGAGCAACTGTTTTCATTGATCTTCATTCTCAGAATGCTGCATTGAATCTATTTTTGTTTTTATTCTTAGCATCTTAGTCCCTCTGCCTTTGCCCTCTTTTACTTAACTGACCTTTGTGATTTGGAGCCTTTTGTTACTGCAGAGCTAACTGTATTGTTTTAGGTTGTGTGAAAGTAAATGATTTTTAGCTACCTTTTACATTTGCTCTGGTTGAAGAAAATAAGTCTTCTGTTCTCATTTAAGTTTTAGAGTACATGCTGTGTATTTTTACAATGATTTTGAGATGATTGGAAGATGTTTATATACCAAAAGCTCTTAAAATATATGAAAATTTACTTAATTATTCTGCATAGAAGCACAACTTCCCACTGTGCTAAAATTAATATAATCACAGCTCAATCAATTAATCTCCACTAATATAGGTTAGATGATTGAGATGCTGAATCAAGATAATATATCCCAGAAGAATAAAGCTATTTAAGTCAATAAAAATAAGAGATTTAAATGTAAATATATATATATGTAGTTTTAAATAACAAAATGAAAATGCATAGTCTTAGGCCCTACTTGGCTTCTGTAGCCTTTTCAGTTTCTTCTTTTAACAAAACAGTAACAATAGCAGATTTTAGAATGGTCTCTTGATCAAAGAAATACTGTTTGTAGAAACAGAGATGCAGTATATTATTTTGCTGAGCAAGACTGTCTCCCTATCTGTGTCCTCCCTCTGACCTTTCCTCCTCTCCAACTCTCAATGCCTGTCAATTCATTGCTCCACTCATTTGATGCATCATTGCTTTTAGATCTACATTTACTTTTTAAGAGACAAAGCTGAAATATAAGTTGTTAAGAATAAGCTGCTATGCCCAAATTTGTAGTGAATTGTGGGGAAAATGATTGGGAAAGAGCTTTGAAGACTAAAGATTCTTGGAGGACAGATATTCTATTATTAAACATGCTTTGAAAGCCATGCAATCACAGTAGTTTTGTTTATACATGAAGATAGTAAATTCTTTTTGGTTATAATACTGATTTTAATAAAAGCATTTACTTTTTAAAATGGTAAACAACTTTTCAGAAATGATTTAAAAGTAAAACAAAGTCTAGTAATAGTTTGTTAGAAATACAAATTAGTTCTACTTCTACATTCATGTTATACAATACAGCTAAATAACACTTAGGTAAAAGTATTCCAAAATGTCCTTCCGCCCTTCTGGGTTTTTTATTAAACAATTCTTTCAAATAGAATTATGGTTGAAGTTAATATTTCCAAAGCTAAATTTAAAGATTAAGCATTGATTTTTAAAAAGGGACGTGGGTTTGGGGTGTAGCTTTTACTTAACATGTACAAAGTGCTCTCTATGTTCAATCCCCAGCACCACAAACTAAAAACAAGCAGGGCATTTTTTTGAAAGTAATGTTTTAGAGGTATTAGACTTATTTCAAGTGATATTATGCCAGATGCAATTGCAGTACCATTACTTGACAATGAATTTTTGTCCTTGAATTTTTGTTTTCTCTTTAGGAATATACTTGCTGAAAACCTCTTTCCCATGTCCCATCATTTATGTATTTCTGTCTGATGGCCAAAACTTCCTTAAAGGAAATTAACAAAGTGAAAATAACTTTTTATAGAATGCTTAAAAATATATGCTTGGTTAATGCTATTTTATGTAAAGAATTCATGGAGTTTCAGAAGGCTATGAAACAAGGATGTGCCCTTAGTTTCACAGTTAAAGAACACTACTATATAGCCATTTGCTTTGGATAATGCACTTAGTCACTTAAAAGAGGATATAATTGGAAAGACTGATTATACCCCATTGAATTATACTCTGTTGAATTATGCTCTGCCTTATGAGCTGCAGTTCAACTCCTGCCTTTTTGGAGATAAAAATCTCATAGTCTTTCCTGCCTGGGCTGGCTACAAACTGGGATACTCAGAACTCAGCCTCTTGAGTAGCTTAGGGTTATAGGCATGAGCCCACCAATGCCTGGTTTATTTATTTATGTATTTTTTAAAACAGGGTTATAAAAAAATCTGAAACAGCTCAAGTAAGTTATTGAAGAAGATATTGGTGTGTTATGAAGATGGAGCTTTAAAGTAGCAAATTATTTTGAGTATCTTTTGTGATTATAAAAATATATTCAGGGGCTGGGAAGGTGGCTCAGTGGTAGAGTGCTTGCCTTGCATGCCTGAGGCCCTGGGTTCGATTCCTCAGCACCACATAAGCAAAAAGAAAAAGCTGGAAGTGGCGCTGTGGCTCAAGTGGTAGAGTGCTAGCCTTGAGCTGAGAGCTGAGGGACAGTGCCCAGGCCCAGAGTTCAGGCCCCACGACCGGACCCCTCCAGAAAAAATATATATATTCAGAAACTGGGGGGACCTAGGAAAAATGCTGAAAAATATTCATAAGTTTCCTACCTAGAAATGACATTGTGATGTATTTCATGACTTTTATCTGAGTGAACATACCTTACACTTGATTTTCTTCAATCAAATCAATTATTTAATCAAATGATTTCATTAGTATATAGTACCTACATAATAATAGTATATTATATAGCACCTACATAATATGTGTACTTATGTCTAATTTGGTAGCATAGGTGTTCCCAGAAAGCACTATATTCTGCAACTTAAATTTGTAATTACTTCATAGTTCCATTCTATGGATATACTTTGAGTCAATACCCTAACACCTAATATTTACGTATATTGCTTTTTGCTTTTATTCTTTGTAAGTTTGAAGTCATTTTATTGGTTTCACTGCTGTTGTACTTGTTTTCCATTATCAGTTTTAGCACACAAACATGATGGACATGTCTGTGCTTGACTTTGAAGAGCCACATTTTAGGTAAAATTAGTAGAGAAAGGGAATTTTCCTTAAAGATAGCTAAGAAAAGTATTTGCTTGCCCCATCATCCACTGCTTTCTACAATTTTACAGAGCCAAAATATGTAATCTATGAAGACTTAAATGATCTAGACTTGGCTTACCTAGGTTTGACTGAAGGTTTGCTCACATCACAATACAGTGTTCTGTTCACATTAGTAATTTGGTCTGCTATACTTTAAGGTTTCCATCCAGACATTTCTAATCACCATCACTCTTTAGCTCTGGTCTATACCTTCACTTTCTTTCTTTCATGACAGCGGCAGCTTAATGGATCTCTCTGAAACGCATTCACTTTTCTTTATTTGTAGCTGGAGTAATTCTTCTAAATCATAAATTAGCCCCATATTCAGAAAAATCTTTACCATATTCCCAATGTCTTCAGTCAAAATCCCATTTCCAGAGCTATGTCCTGTCACAATCTGTCTTCTCTCTTGTGTGCCTTTCTTCTCCCTTGATTTGTGTTCAGCTGTGTGAGTTAGCTGCTCTAGAACATTACTATCAGTTGAATCTACCCAGGTGTTTACAACTCAGAGGATCCTTCCTGTGAACAGTCTCATTAGCTAATGGTTTATTTGGTGACTTTATTGATATCTGAAATCATATTTTTTGTTTTGTTATTTATTTTGTGCTAATAAAAGGAAAGATAGACAGGAGTTTGGACTTTGGTTTGTGTTATTTGCTTACTTACTCCAGGACTTAGAAGGATACATGAATGATTAGATAAATACATCTAAACTGCCACTGGAAACTTTGAGAGCAGTGTGTATTTTTCAGGTTCTACCGTACTCATCAGTTCATTGTTTATTTTTGATATCATGTTATATGTTGTAATATCTTAACATGTTTTCTACATCCAAGATCGCTTGCAATCTCAAACCATACATGAATATTAGAAATGTTTTATTGGTAAGATAAGATGATGTGTAGGTACTTATCTTTAAGGAGTTGCCATTTAGCAAAGCAGTTTATGAATATACCTCTTGATCTTTCTTACTTTTATAAGATATATATTGAATTCTTGACTGCATTTGGTAGACTTCTTAGTTGGCATCTCTAACTTTACTGTTCTGAAAAAAACAAACAACAACGTTCACATCAGACTTATGTGATCAGGGCCTCATCTTCACTCTTTTGGTCATTCTTTTTTGTGTGTGTGTGTCCGGTCTGAACTCTGGGCCTGGGCGCTGTCCCTCAGCTCTTCAGCTCAAGGCTAGCGCTCTACCACTTGAGCCACAGTGCCAGTTCCGGCTTTTTTTCTTTTTGCTTATGTGGTGCTGAGGAATCGAACCCAGGGCCTAATGCATGCAAGGCAAGCGCTCTACCACATCTAGTTACAGTATAGTACAGAATATTGTACAAGGTGTGTCATGCTGTGAGTTTGGTGATCTAAAT